TTATTTCATAATGTGGGTTTTGATCCACTCTTTGCCTATTATCCTGTCCCAGCTTCGTTATTTTGACTTCTTGATGAAACAATTCAACAATCATAGAGAAAAAGGTTAGATTTCTCTCAAAGTTTAAGCGAACAGATTTTTGAAGAGTCAATATGGGATGTGAGGTGTGTTTCCCTCCTTCCTATCAGCTGTCATGTTCCTAGCAGCCAGCATCTTCCTCTCGGGGGCCCTGCCCTGCCTGTCTCTTTCCCGTCTACTCACTCTCTCTGGGGCCCTGCTTGCTTTTGCTCTCCCATTGTCAGCATGTGAGCCTGGGTGGCGGCCAGGCCTGCAGACGTGTGGCAGAAGGAAGGAGAGAGAAGAGAAGAGGAGGATGTCACTGTCACACTCCAATTTAGGAACTCAGCTGCTGCGTCATAGAGGCCCGATCTAGCACCATATGATGAGGCTCAGTTCTGGAGTCGTATCTTCTAGATTTGAGTCCTGGTTCCCCATTAACTCTTGGAGCAAGCTTTGTGGGGGCAGGGGCGGGGGTTGGGATGGATGAGCATCAATTTCTCCATCTGTAAACCAAGAGCAATAACTCTAACCTTCACGGAACAAACAGGTAAGCCTTGTAATATATTTGGTACCAGGCCTGGGGTGTAGCTAGTGCCTAGTAAGAATTAGCTCTTTTTGTCTGATGTCCCCATGCCTCTCATCTTGTCCACAGGCCAGTCACCTACCCTCTTCTAATTCAACCCAGGCTGCCCAGCAACACTGCTGACCCTAACTACTGCCAGCCTTGTCTCCAAGGACCTATCTTAGGCTTAGCTTAGACTTTCAAGTCCAGCTCCTTGCCATTCACCACAACTGGGTTCCTAGTGCCTCCCATAGGCAATGAGTAAACAACAACAACAACAACAACAACACCCCAACCCTTAATGTTAGCTCTCATTCCACTGGCTCACATGGGTTGGAAGGGACAACCAGTGGCAAAAACCTGCTCCTGATCAGTTTTTCTTTTTTGCTTTCACTTCTTTCTCAAGGGGCCATATGAAATTGAACTTGGAACTGTGGTTTGTCCTTTCTTTAAGGCCTGCCAGGAAAATCATTAAGTTTTTAGTGGGCACTGGAGGATATCTTATTTCCCTTTCCATTTAACAAACATTAAATTTTTGAGCAGGGTTTCCTGAACTCCACATAATAGCAAGATGGCTTTTATTTTACTGGCTTCTTCATTTCATTTTGTCAGTACTGCCAGCAAAACTCTGGGAATGTGATCTGCTAGGCCATGTCTCCACCAGCCAAGATTTGAAGGGTGCAACAGATTGAAAATTTTCAAACTGCAAAACAGTGCTTCAAATATGTGTTCAGTGAGCAACGAAATGCTTCCTTGCAGGAGTCCTTGCTCCCTCTGTTGGGTAAATGGATGACTTTCCAGGGATGCTGCATAAAAGAGTGATTAAAAAAAAATGGCTCTAGGCAGCCGCAAGATGGATTCTTCAGCCCAGTGTATATCTCTTGCTGTTTAAAAACAAGTTTAAATTAGGTTCTATAACCATTTAACCATATCCCCTGATGTCTGTACATAAGTCATTCCCTAGTGAAGGGAAAAGAGGGCTGATATGTTAAGTGTTGTTGAACAGTTCTCAGGAACCTGGCATCCCAAATGTCAGGCTAGTTTTACATGGGTCATATTTAAATTATTACCACTGGTTTTTTCAGAGTGTTTCTAAATAAGCTGCAAAGAGAGCAAAAAGGGGGGCGGGAAGCTCAAAATGCCACCAAGAGGTAAGGATAAAATGTGTGTGGGTTTTTTTTTTTTAAGATTTATTTATTTATTTTTAGAGAGAGAGAGAGAGATCACGAGAGCAGGGGGAGGAGCAAAAGGAGAGGTAGAGAATCTCAAGAAGACTCTGTGCTAAGCACGGAACCCAAGGTGGGACTCGGTCTTACGACCCCTGAGATCATGACGTGAGCTGAAATCAAGCATCAGAGACTTAATGGGAGGCGTAACTGACTGAGGGATTCCTGTGCCTCAGAAGAAAAATGTTTGACTGTAAGAACTCAGAACCACTATAAATAAAACGAACCCCAATACTGTCCTCACCTTACATTACATTCCCTTGATTTTTTCACTCCGATTTCTGTTCTCTTGACTCTAAGTGGGTAAATATTTCCTGGTATCAAATGAGCTCGCACTCCTTTGTCAGGACATGAATTTACCTTGTTTGCCCAGGAAACTAGACACAACCACAAACACACTTACAGGTATAACTACATGAAGAGGTCCTAGCAGCTAATCCTGGCCTTAACATGTAACAGAGAATGCACATGTTATATCCACTTTCCAGAGGGTAGAGCTCATCTTTTCTGAGTTGAGTTTTTGTTTCCTATAGTGGTGATGGCCTCACCACTCATCTGTTGCGGAGTGGGCAGTAGTTCAGGGTGTGTAATATTAGAGAAAAAAGCAATACTGACTTTTTAACACCATTATGGAATCAACTACGTTAACCATCTTAAGATAATTAACACAGATACACTCACAAATATGTTAATGCTGCTCTGGGATAGACATTATGTCATTTCCTTTTATGTGATGTGTTCATTCATTTATTCATCAAGCAAGTGTTAATACATTCATTACTAATAGAAACTGGAAAAGATGCAGCAGCACATTTACTGTTTCTAAAACTCATGTACTGAGTCTTCTTTGCCCTTGAGTTACATGGATACCAGGATAAAACAAAATCAATATTTGTTCTATTCATCCTGCATAAATATTTTCCCAGACAAGTGGTTATTTACCATACTGAGTCAACACATCCTGTTGGAATATAAGAAGGTTCTCTGGAATATTATCTCTTCCCATGGGTCTGGTAACATGACCTAGGAAACTACCCAAAGGGGAGGGGTACAGACTTTGTGTGCCTGTCACAGTGAGTCAGTATGCCAGGCATTTACAGATGTAGAATTTCATCCTCCTAAACATATTAGGAGACAGCCACTGTGATTCATTTCATTTTACAGATGAGGAGACTGGGACTCTAAAAGGTTAAGAACATTTTCTTAAAATGTTCTCTTTACATGCTTCAATGACACAAAGTTTTCCCAATTTTCTCCATTCTTCTCTGTCTCAGTCTTTTTTATTATTTCTTTCTCCTTCCCACCTTTATCCATGGCTCAATGTTGGACATTCTCCATCTTCATTTCCTGGTGATCTCATCTAGTCAATGGCTTTAAATATTATTCATATGCTCCTAGCTCTCCAGTATGTATCTCCAGCCCCAAATTCTCCCATTTCTGCTAGACTTGTATATCCACCTGCTTACTTGGCATCTACACTTAGATGATGGGCAAGCATCTCCAAATTTGTATATGCAAACTGGAAACCTTGATTTTTTTTTTCTCTCCAGGTCTCTTTCACCCGGATTTGAACCACTTTCATAAATGCTTCTACCATTCCACAATTTCTCATTAAAAACAAATAAACACCTCTCTTTTCTTTACCACCTCCTCAATCCATAACAAAAATATACTGTAAGTCTGTTTGGATTTCTCCTTCTCTATCTTTGCCTAAGCTTTGCCCTGATTGCCAAGAACACCTCATCTGCCTTTCTCTTTCTCCTTGCCTAGAATATAGTTTGTTTCGTTGGATTTTTTTATGGCCAAAGATGCTACATCCATTTGAACATGAGAGGAATGGCACCTGCATCACAGAGACATTAACTCTAATATACTAGATACAAAAGCAACACCTTCACATATCATGTTCTAAGTGAAAAATAGCTCTTATTTCTTTAATACAAAACGGTCATATTATTTTATTATTTGCAGGTGAAAACATTCCTGATAAATGATCTCTCCCCATCTCCATCAATCCATAGCCAAACAGCATCCAGGGAGATTTTTTTTTAACATAAGCAAGATTTGTTCAGTAACTAAATATTTACTGAACACATATTATATGCTATGAATGCATCTAGGTGCACATAAATACAAGATAAACCAGTGAACAAAGCAACAAAGTTGGGATACATTAGTAAACAGAGCAAAGACCCTTGTTTTTGTGGAGGGCAAAAATATAATAATCATGTAAATAAGTGAATTACTTGTTGTTTGAGGATTATTTATGCTAAACAGGGAGAAAAGGAAAAATTATAAAGCATGGTAAGATTGATCAGAAGTGAGGGATGTAATTTTAGACAGTGTGGTCAGGATGGGTTTCAATGAGCAGGTGACATCTGAGAAAAGAAATGAAGAGCTTGGATAACAGTGGAGATGGGCTGGAGTTGCCATCAGCTAAGATGAGAAAGGCTGAGTGCAAATCAGAATTATGGAATGAGATAGTTATCTCAGTTTTAGATACATTGAATTTTAAATATCTATCACAACATTTGAGAAGAGAAAAGGTTGAATAGGCAGTGGAATGCATGAGTCAAGAATTCAATTGAGAGGTCTGCATAGTGGAGAAAAATTTGTGAGTTGTGGTCTATAGATGGTATTTAGAACCATGAGATTGCATGAGATCACTAAAAGGGTAAATGTTGTGAGTATAAAAGACTAAGTCCTAGAACCAATGTGTTTCCACTTTAGTAAGTTGGGGAGAAGAGAAGCCAGCAGAGGGAGGGGGTGGAGAAGATGCAGCCAATGAAATAGAGGCTGAGGTGACATGGAAGCCAAATGAAGAAGTGCATTAAGGACAAGAGAGTGATCACTGTTACTAATTGTCAAATAAAGTAGGAACTTAGAACTGATCATCAGCTTTAGCAACAATGAGGTCATTGGTGACTTGACATGAACAGTTTTCACGAATTGTTGGGGAAGAAAGCCTGATTGAAGTGGATTTGAGAATAGAAGACTAATGGCAGCTCCTCTGAGATTTTTGCAAAGGTGAGCAAAAAGTTGAAGTGTACCTGGGCGATTTTTTTTAAGATGGAAAAATAGCATATTTGTGGAATGATGAGATGATCAAGTAGAAATTTAAAAATGGATGATGTAGGAGAAAGAGGACTCACCAGGCAGAGTTGCAGAAGGAACACTAGCTTTTGGTCAGGAAACAGAAGCAGGGATGAGGGGAGAGCTTAGGCCAGAAGACTTTATGGGGTTTCCTGGCAGAGGCAAGGCAGGGCAGGATAAACAGTTTAAGATTGGCTAGTTTGACTAATTTCAAGTGGACTTTGGGCTACAGTCTCTAGTTGTCTGGCATTTGGCCCTGGGATGATTAAGGCAGAGAATATTGCCTCCTGGGGTGCACAGGCCAGATGGGGAGCTATGGGCCTGGATTTGTTAGCTTACATTTCAAAGGCATGCTCATGGTAAGTCTTTTGCTATCTCTAAGAACTGACTAGCCATGGAGGGACTAGAAAGGTTTTTAAAATGTTAAAACATCTTACTGCATAGAAAATTTAAAGCATAATTAATACACAAGCACATCATATACAAAACTAACAAAAAGATTCTGAGAAATGGAGAAAAGAAAGCAGATTGGCAAAAGACCTCAGGACCCAAGGACCAAACTTGTGGTGACTTTCCTGAATTTTCCTTTTGCCCCATTTATTGCAGATTTGGAGCTGACATCTGGAAATGCCAACAACAGGAATAGGCAAAAAAGAAGTCTCAACAAAACCCTGCTCTTTCTAGTAAAAGGATCAGGGAAAGGACAGTCTAGCAAGATAAAAACTTTTAGACAATAACTACTTTGCTACAGCCAAACACCACAGAAATAAAACTGTGACTCCCCTCCTCCCCGCCCCCAGCAAAAGCCAACTGGGAGCCTAGACTTCCAACCTCACAATACTGTAACAAGGCAGCTTACCTTCCTTGCTGGGGTGGTGCCAAAGAGGCCAAGGAGGGAATCAGGACTTTTACCCCCATTGGTTAGTATTAAGGCCCATTCTTTCTGCAATGTCAGTGGAGACCACCTAGGGAGCCAGAACTTGCATTCCCATCCAGCAGTAACAAGAAGTACTCCCTTCTCCTTGGATGGACAACTGAAGTCCTAATATGTCAATAATTACATTAAATGCAGTCTAAAAATAAAAAAAAAGCAAGCATTCTAAATACACAAATCAAAGGATAGAGGTAGAATATAGTTAAAACCATAACCCAATATATGTTGTTTGTAACAATCTCATTTCAAATATAAAAATAAAGGCAAGTATGAAAAAGATTTGGCATGAAAACATTAATCAAAAGAAAGCAGGAATGGTTATATTAATATCATATAAAGTAGATTTCAAAGTAAAGAAAATTACTGAAGACAGAGAGGAATATTACATAATGATAAAAGGGTCAACCCTTCAAGAAGACATAGTGATCCTAAGTATGTATGCACCAAACAACAGATCTGTAAAATCTATGAAATAACAGTTGACAGGACTGAGAGGAAAAACAGACAAATTCACAATTATAGCTGGAGACTTCACTATGCCTTTCAGCATTGATAGGATAACCAGACAGAGAATCAGTATGAATATAGAAGAATCCTAGGAACATCATTAAGCAGCAGGATTGAAGCAACGTTTATAAGATATTCCATCCAACAATAGCAGTATCCAAGGGATATATACAAATTAAGATCATATTTTGGATCATAAAACAAATCTTAACAAATTTAAGAAATAATACAGAATGTGTTTTTTGATTACATTGGAATCAAAATAGAAATTAATAAGAAAGATTCAGGAAAGTACTCTAAATACTTGGAAACAAAATAGCACATTTTTAAGTAATCCATGGGTCACAGATGAGGTCTCAAGCGAAATTTTAAAAAATATATTGAACTGAATGAAAATGAAAATACAGCATGTAAAAATTTGTGGGACATAGCTAAAGCAGTATGGAGCAGTATGCAGTAAGCAGTTTACAGCATGAAAGGCATGCATTAAAAAAAAGGAAAAGTCTCAAATATATTATCTAAGCTCTCACCTTAAGAATGTAGAAAAGGAAAGCAAAAGAAACCCAAAGAAAGCAGAAAGAATAAAATAATAAAGATTAGAGCAGAAACTGAGAATATTGAAAATAAAAACAAATAATGAAAAATCAATGAAACAGAAAATCAATGAATCAATGCAAGAACTGGTTCTTTGAAGAGATCAATAAAATTGACAATTTTTGCAAAAATTGACCAAAAAAAAGGAAATAACCAATGACCAATATCAGGAAGGAAACAGGATATGACTATAGATCTTGCACATATATAAAAGGATAATAAGGGAATACTATGAACAAGAGTACACATGTAAATTTGACAACTTAGACAAAATTAACCAAATCCTTAAAAGCCACAAACTACCACAACTTACCCAACATGAAGTTGATAATTTCAATAGTTTGATACTTATTAAGGAAATGAATTGTAATTTAAAAACTCCCTAAGACAAAATCTCCAGGCCCAGATGGTTTCACTAGAGAATTTTACCATAGGTGTAAAGAGTAATTAACAATCAAGTCTATACAATGTCTTTCAGAAAATAGAAGAAAAAACTTCCCAATTCATTTTTTAAAGCTAGTATGACTTCAATATCAAAACCAAAGATAGCACAGAAAAAGGAAAATTATAGACCAATTTCCCTCATGAATATAGACACAAAAATCCTTAATAAAGCATTAGCAAATAGAATTTAGCAATGTATAAAAGAACGATATACCATGACTAAGTAAGATTTAGGGCACAAGCCTGATTCAGTATTTGAAATTAAATCAATGTAATCTACTATATTAACAGGCTACTGAAGAAAAATCACAAGTTCATATCCTTCAATGTAGAAATGTATTTCATACCATTCATGATTAAAAAAAAAACTCTCAGAAAAATTGAGATAGAAGAGAACCACATCTGCATGAAAAAGAGTAACTACTCAAAAATCTACAGTTAATAGTATACTTAATGGTGAAGTGCTAAACGCTTTCTCCCTATGTTCAGGAGCAAAATAAAGGTGTCCACACTCACCACTCTTATTCAACATAGTGCTGGAAGTTCTAGTTGGGGCAGTAAGAGAAGAGAAGGAAATAGAAGTACAAATCGGAAGGAAAAAACTGGTACCATTTGCAGATGACATGATAGGCTACTCAGAACATCCCAGGGAATCTACAAAAACAACTTCGTAGAACCAGTAAGTGAGTTCAGTAATGTTGCAAGATATAAGATAAGCATTCAGGAATCAATTGTATTTTAATATACTACCAATGAATCTGTGGACACAAATTTAAATTCCAATACCGTTTATAATTACGCAAAAACAAAAATAAAACACTTAGCTATAAATCTAAGAAAACACGTATAGGACTTGTATGATACAGACTACAAAACACTGATGAAAGAAATGAGAAAAATAGATGGACAGTTGTATAGTGTTTATAGATTAGAAGACTCAGTATATTAAAAATATCAATTCTCCAGATACCTGGGTGGCTCAGTGGTTGAGCGTTGCCTTCAGCTTGGGGTGTGATCCCAGGGTCCTGGGATGGAGTCCCCCATTGGGATCACCACAAGGAGCCCGCTTCTCCCTCTGTCTATGTCTCTGGGTCTCTCTCTGCCTCTCTCTCTGTCTCTCAGGAATGAATGAATGAATGAATAAATAAATAAATAAATAAATAATATTTTAAAAAATCAATTCTCCCCAAATTGACATACAGGTTTTACCCAATTTCTACCAAACTCCAGCAAGATTTTTTATTGACATAGACAAGATTGTTCAAAAATTTATATTAAAACAAAAAATAAAAGAGTTAAAATAATTTTGAAAAAGAAGAAGAAAGTGGGTAGAACCAATGTACCTGATTTTAAGACTGTTTACACAGCTACATGAATCAAGACTATGTGGTACTGGTAAAGGGATAAACACAAAGATTGATCAAACAGAATAGGGAACCCAGGAACACACTCCCACAAATATATTCAAATGACTTTTGACAAACATACAAAAGCAATTTAATGGAAGAAAGATGGATGTTTCAACAAATGGAGCAATTGGACATCCATAAGCAAAAAAATGAGCCTCACCACCTCAGTCCTCACACAAAAATTAATTCAAAATGGACGACAGACTTAAATGTGAAACATAAAATTATAATTAAAAATATAGGAGAAAATCTTTAAGATCTTGGGCTACACAAAGAGTCACAGACTTAACTTCAAAACTAAATCCATGAAAGGAAAATTGATAAATTGGATTTTATCAAAATTAAAAAGTTTTGCTTCGTGAAAGTCTCTATTAAAAGATGAAAGACAAGCAACAGAGTGGGGAACATATTTGTGAACCACATGTCTGACAAAGGATTAAAATCTAGAATATATACTCTTAAAACTCAAGAGTTAAAAAGTCAACAAACCAATCAGAACATGGGCCAAAGACACAAAGACACATTTATCTGAAGAGCATATACAGATGGCCAATACATACATGAAAAGATATTCACCATCGTTAGCTATTAAAATGTCATTAAAACCACAATAAAATGTCTCATGTGTACCTATTAGAATAGCTAAAATAAAAAAAATGATGACACCACCAAAATCTGGCAAGAATGCAGAGAAGCCAACTTACTCCTACATTTGTTAGTGGGAATGTACCATGGTACAACCACCCTGGAAAACAGTAATATAGTTTCTTAAAAAAATGAAACATGTAATTACTTTGCCATCTATTAATTGTGCTCCTGTGCATTTATTCCAGCAAAATGAAGACATATAAAAACTTGTACATGAGTGTTTGTAGAATATTTATTTGCAAAAGCCCTAAACTGGAAACACCAGATGTCCTTCAACGGGTGATAATTTAAACTGCAGTACATCCTACCATGGAGTATTATTGAGCAACAGAAAGAAATACACTACTGATACACACAGCAAAGTGAATGACTCTCAGAGAATTATGCCGAGTGACAAAAGGCAATCCCCCAAAGCCACACACGGTACGATTCCATTTATGTAACATTCTTGAAATGACAAAACTATAAAAGTCAATTATAGAATAAGGGTAGCCAGGAGTTAAAGATGGAAGGGAAGCAGGGGAAGGTGAGTGGAAAGTGAGCGTAGCCATTAAGAGCAACATAAGGAATCTTTGTGGGCACTGCAATGTTTACCTTG